TTCCCTCACTTCCCTCAGAACCCTCCCTCACTCTTCCAGTCATACCCCCCAAAGAGGTCCTCCCCTCTGAGGCAGTACAGCTTATTAAATCACAAATTGACCCTATTGTTAGGGACATAAAAACACTTCTATAGCCTAACACCACCAACCCCTCAAAATAGCCCTGAGGGACCCAACTTGAGCTGTCAAGTTAACCAATACCCTCTGAGCCCCAATGGCCATCTTGGCCTCTAGCCCATCATCAACCACCTTTTTAAGGCCCAAATCCTCATCCCTACCTCCCCATCCCCCGCTCCACACAATACTCCCATCCTTCCTGTAAAAAAATCTTATGGCTCCTTCTGATTAGTCCAAGATATCTGAAAGATTAATGAAGCTGTTGTTCCCACCCAACCAGTATTGCACAACACCTGCACCCTCCTCTCCCATATCCTACCCAGTACTCAATACTTCCCTGTCCTAGGATCTCAAAAATGCCTTTTTTACTATTCCCCTCAGCCCTAATTCCCAACAACTTTTCACCTTCACCTGCATAGGCCTCATATCTCTGTTTACCCAACAACTCATATGGACAGTTCTCCCCTAGGGATTTTGGGGCAGCCCCCACTTCTTTGGCCAAGCACTACAAAGGGACCTCCAATCCCTCGATGTCACCCCTAGCCATCTTCTCCATTATGTCAACCTCTTGCTTTGCAGCCCCTCAGAAAATGACTCTATATCCCACACTATCTCCCTTCTTAGATTCCTGGGGGAAAAGGGATACCATGTCTCAGAACACAAAGCTCAACTGATACAGCAAAAGGTCACTTACCTTGTTCTTGACCTCAGCCCTACCACTCACTGCATACCCACCTTTTGAAAACAAGCCATTAATAATCTCCCTTTCCCCACCACAAAGCAAGATCTTCTTTCCTTCCTGGGGCGTCTTAGCTATTTTAGACTCTGGATCCCGAATTTCTCACTCATTGCAAAACCCCTTTATGAGGCCTCCCACAGGGATCCCCAAGAAAGCATGCCAGAGACAGACTTAATTCCTGCTTCTTTCTGGGCCCTTAAGTGAGTACTCCTCAAGACACCTGCTTTGACTCTACCTAACCATAATAAACAGTACTTCCTATTATTAAACAGCAAAAAGGGACAAGCATTAGGGTTATTCTCACAGTCAGCCAGGGACTCACTCCAGCCTGTTGCCCATTTGTCCAAACAACTCACCTGGTAATAAAAGGCTGGCCTCTCTGCTTACAGGTCCTAGTGTCAGCTGCACTCCTTATCCCCAAGGCCCAAAAGAATTGCCCTCCACCAGCCCCTACAGGCATAGTCCTCACACAACCTCACCGACCTTGTCAGCTACTGGGCTCTAACCCTTCTCTCCCTGGCCGGAGTCCAAGTCTTACACTCTCAGCTTCTACAACCCTTGTTTACCTCCTACCTCTCCTTGCCCCATGAGCCCTTATCACCCTTCTTCCTCCTTTCCTTCCCTGCTTAATTAACCTATTTCAAATATTTTTACAAGATCAAATGGCAGCCATCTCCCAGGCAACCACTTGAGAACACCTCCAAATGGCCTTCTTGTTTCAAAATATCAGAAAACCCCCTTCATCACCCCCTCTTAGCAGGAAGTAGCTAATAAAATAATGGTGACCCATCTTCCTATACCCATTTAGAGCCAGGAATGATAGAGCCTGGACAGGAGTACTGTCTTTTTGAATAAGCCCACCTGCCACCTCAGAGAGACCTAGGTGTCATCTTACTTAGGCTACAAGCATTCTCCAGAGGACACATCAGCAAGCCACAAACCCACCTTTCCCCTGACCCGTCCCCTCAAAAGCAGGAGGGAGAAACTGCAGAGCCCCAGTGCTAGGGAGAGAAAAGACAGCTCTGTGCTGGGAGCAGGAGGGAGCATCGTGGAGCCAGGAGAGACTGGTGACCAGAGACTGTCTTTGTCATTTGTACATAGCCAGGTGACTGCAGTGAGAATAAATGTGATATGAGCCCCTTTTAACCCCCAACTTTTTGCTGTCTTTATTTGGTCTCACTGAATTCATAGTGAGCTTTTCTGGAGTGGGGAATACCCCTCCTACCAGAGCAACACTGTCACAGCCAACAGGGCCCTAAGGAGACATGACATCTAAATGCAATGTGGTGTTATTGATGGGATCCTGGAGCAGGAAAAGTCCATAATTAAGTAGAGCAGGGACATGGGACAAGCATCAGGATTCATTTTTCCTGCCTATGATGTAAAATGCTGATATATAAATAGTACAGTAACAATAGGAGCAAAATCTTTGAGACAAAGATTTTATTTTAAAAACCAGGGAGTTAGGAGGTAATATTCTTAACATATTTTGTGGTGACTAGCCAACAACTGACTCTATCTTTAGGCAGGACAAGTGGTCCTAAATGATATGTTCCCACTTATTGTGGGTAACCATTATCTTGGAGAAGAATAGATCAAGAAATTCCTTGTGTTAAGTTTATCTTACAGAATGTCTAGAAGACTCACTATGGATAGTGACATAAAGTCTCACTGGAGATGGACATCATGAGACCACATGTCAAGCCTACATGCCTCTCACCCCATCAAGCCCTTTGCCCCATTCTTGAAGTCCTTAAAAGACAGAATCCTAACCTTAAAGTACACCTCCTCTCTGAGGTTACCTGCATTCTCCCTTCACTGAGTGTGTACTTCCCATTAAATAAAGACTTCTCACTGCTCAACTCACTGCATTTTGTCTCTGCACTCTTCCATTGGTAAATGTCATTTTGTCATTTTGCTTTTCCATTCAGCTTTCTAGTCTTAACACAATCCTTTTCTCTTTCCCTATTTTATTCAGACAAGTAGGGAAGTGAAAGTTCTCAGAACATAATCTCACTCCATCCAGTGTTCCATGGCTCCCCCAAATCCTGGAGTGTTAGGGGCCTAGTTCCCATGCCATGCAGATTCATGCAGACACTGGATGCCAGGTGACCCTGACTTTAGGAGTTGCCCTACACTGAGCAGGAGTTCTGTGAACTTCCCTTTCCTCCCTCTGCTCTTTCTTGCTCTCTACTCCCTGCACACCTGCTGATTTTCACTTCTACTCTTGTTTTAATGAATTCCTTCCTTACTTACACTCATCCGACCTGGTCAAGAATTCTTTCTTGTTCAGAGTCAAGAATCCCAGCCTGTCTGGGTTGAGTTTTCACCTACTGCACAGAGAGAGACCTCCCCAGATGCTGCTGCTCAACAGTAATAAGGTAAAAACCAAGGACATCTGACTAGCTATGGCTTCTAGATAATACTAGGGTATCAATATTAGTTCATCAGTTGTAACAAAGGTACCATACTAATATAAAATGCTAATAAGAGGGCAAAGTAGGTTTGGGTGATGTGGGAACTCTGTACTATTTAGCTCAATTTCTCCATAAACCTGAAACTGTCCTAAAAAGTAAAGTTTATTAAAATTCACATGGGGTCTATAGATTAGAAGTCTTCCCCAGGAGCTCTGGTGTGAGGGGAGTGGGAGCTGCCATGCTTGGAAGGTGTTTATTCTAGAATTCCATTATTCTCAGATTCTGTGCATCAAGGAACAAAGAGACAGTGTGTCCCGGTAGCTGGACAGCCAGCAATGGAGCCCAAGTCCTTGAGTTCAAAGTCTGGCTTTACATCCCCATGTGACACCCGGAATATATTGATTTGTCCCTGCTTGACTTTTCCATCTATGAAGCAGGAAGAGTCGAGGCTCTTAGGTAGTGGTTGTGAGGATTAAATGAGGCCAGAAATATCCTGAGTATCCATAATGGATTAGGGGATAACAATCTGGTCTAGCCATGCAATGCGGCACTATCTGGCCACAGGAAGGGATGAAGCTCTGATGTATGCTGCAACACAGACGAGCCTTACACACTGTGCTGAGTCCAAAAGGCTGGCATTTGCTCATATACAATCACATGTCTGTTCCATTTACATGAAAAGTCCGGAATAGGCAAATCCATAGAGAGAGGAAGTAGGTTTGTGGTAGCGAGGGCTGGGGGTGGTGGTGGTGGTGGGGGCGTAAGGGGAGTGACCACCTTTGGGGTATGGGGTTTCTTTATGGGGTGATGATAATATTTTGGAATTGGATTGATACATAACATTGTGAATGTACTAAATGTCATGGAATTGTACACTTTAAAATGGTGAATGTTAAGATACATGTATCTAACCACAATAAAATAAAAAAATCGGAAGACTACAGCATTCATGACAAAAATTACACATGTATAATGGAAGTGGTTATTGTTTCCTACAAGCAATACTTCACATCTAAACAGTTGTCTTTAGTAAACCTCTAATAGCTTCCCTTTGTCCTTAAAATAAAGTTCAAAATACTTAGCCTGATATTGAAGGTCTTCTATCATCTGCTACCATTTGTCAGCAGATACCAAATACATACCCTGTGACTTCCTACCTTGTTATTTGGCTCCCAGACTAGCTTGTATGAGTTACTGTCAGTAGATTAAATTCTGCCTAGATAATACATGTCTTGACTTAAACACTCTTAAGATACTTTAAAAAGTGACCAATTAACTTGAGTGATATGAATAAAAAGAAAAAGCATAATTTTTGACAATTGTCTCAGACCTCTATTCTTTCTCATGGCCCAAAGTAAGAAATGAACATTAATGTATGAATACTATTAGAAACATTTATTATTCATATCAAACCACACTAACATCCCTGAACTAAATAGATGTCATAGTATTGTGGCTTAGGGATTAGAATGATGCACTTGACACTTCTTTCCCCATGCTTAAAAGCTTTATATCAATAATTGAGAAATAAGGTGTTTTTAAAAAGATGATGCTTTCACTCTTTCATGAAAGAAAAAACCATAATGATTCAGCAGATTATACTTCTATGCCTATAAGTAGGAGTGTTTTAGTGTTCATTGAAGAAATGACTTCTCAAGGATTATAGGAAACAAATTAGCTGCCATGCATTATTTTACCTATACTATGATATATTTTATTTTTTTTACCTTTGTATTTCTAAAGAATGAAAGATTGGTTCAAGATGTAGCCAGTTTCTTTGACAATTCATCCATTCCTCAAGAGTGTAAGTGAAGAGAGTCAAGTTTTGATCCCACTCATCCACAAGATCCTACAGTGATGGAAACACATATATACAAATCTAAATACATGAAGTTATCATATAAGTGTCAGATAATAGAAACTGAGATGAAATATGACTATGAGTCACTGACATGCAGAAAGTAATTAATAGAGGGTCACATAAATACAATTTAATTATATTTAGTTTTGGGAAAGGTTTGAGATGTTCTGCTAGGCCAATTTTCTGTCTTATTTATTACAAAATATACAAATATTTTCAGTATGTATATTCTTTCAGTTCTTTAAAAACATATTTGTGCATATGTACATATGCATGAACTATTTTTAAGTTTACAGAAATGCAACCATATTATACATTTTGTTCTGTGACTCATTTTTTAAAAACTTAATAGTGTCTTTTATGTTAGAACTTTTAGATTCTCATTCATTTAATTTCATAAAGTTCCATTGTGTGGATAAAACATCTTTTTCCAACTAGTATACTGATTAAAGTAATAGGTAAATGGTTTAAAATTAATACTCAAATGCTTACTTAAAAACTAGTAGACTGGCCCATCCCCTAATTCTGGGCTCCTCAGAGGGAACCACTTGCAACTTATTTATATTTCTCTTCTAGTATTAACTTCCATATTTCTTTAAAATCTATTTTATAGATTAAGGTATAATTGACATGTAGTAAAGTGCACATATTTAAAGTACACAATTTAATGTTTTGACATATGCTCATTCCTATGAGTCAATCAATCAAAATCAAGATAATGAGCACATCCATTATGTTTGTGTCCTGTCATAATCCCCTCTTCCACCTGCCTGACTATTCCCATGCCTAGGCAACCACAAATCTACCCTCTGAAACTATAGACTTCTTTGCATTTTCTAGAATTCTATACAAATGGAATCATACATGTATTATTTTGGGTCTGACATGTTTCACTCAGCATAGCTATTTTGAGATTAGTTTATGTTGTTGCATGTATCAATGGGTCATTTCGTTTTTATTGCTGAGTACATTGGTCTGTTTAGATACACAACAATGTATCTGTCATGCACCGGGTATTCACCTGTGTTGCTTCCTGCTTTTTACTATTACAAATAAAGTTGCTATCAATATTCAGGTACAAGTTTTTGTATGGACATAAGGTTTCCTTTCTCTTTGGTAAATGGCTTGATCATGTGGTAGGTACATTTCTAACTTGTTAAGTAACTTTTAAGTGAGTGTAGCATTTTACATTCCATACATTAATGTGTGAGAGTTTCAGTTCTTCCACAGCCTACCAACATTTGGGATGATCACTGTTTAGTTCCAGTCATTCCATTAGGAGCACAGTGGCACCTAATTTGGGATTTTAGCACTTTCCTGATAAGTAATGAAGTTCAGCATCTTTCTATATGTTTATTTTCCATCCATGTATCTTCTTCAGTGAAATATCTGTTTTGAATATTTCTTTATTGTTTTGTATTTTGAGAGTTCTTTACACATTCTGAATAAAAGTCCTTTATCAGACATATGCTTTGCAAATATTTTCTCCCAGTCTATGTTTTTATTTTTTCCATAACAGTGACTTTTGAAAGGCACAAAATTTTAATTTTAATGAAATCCAACTGATAGATTTTTCCTTTTATTGATCATTCTTTTGGTATCTTATTGAAGAAATCTGCTTAGCCCAAGGTTACAAAAATGTTCTCTGATGTTTTCTTCTCAAAATTTTAGTTTTAGTACTTAGGATTACAAACCATTTTTAGTTAAATTTAGTATATGCTGCAAGATATGGCTTGAAGGTTTTATTTTTTTTACATATGACTGTCCAGTTGTGCCAGCACCATTTCTGAAAAGACTATTGTTTCTTCCTGAAATTGTCTTTACACTTCTGTTGAAAATCAGTTGTCCATATGTATGTAGGTCTGTTTCTGTACTCTATTCTGTTCCATCTATTTGTCTATCTTTTAACTAATATAAAACTGGTTTGATTACTGTAGCTTTATAATAATGCTTGAAATAAAGTAATGTTCATCTTCCAACTTGGTTCTTCTTTTTCATTGTTTAAGCTATTCTATTGTCTTCACATTTCTATAAGAATTTTAGAATCAGCTTGTTAATTTCTACCAGTAGTTCTCTAGGATTTTGATTGGTTTAGCATTGCACCTAGATCCTTTTGAGGACATTTGACATCTTAATTACATTGAGTTTTCAGATGCATAAACACAGTATATCTTCCATTTATTTAGAACTTTAATTTCTTTCTGCAGGGTTTTTAGTTTTCTGTGTACAGGTCTTACACATCTTTTATTAGATTTATCCTTAAATACCTCATATTTTTTATATGTTATTGTCATTGGTATTTTAATTTGAATTTACAATCGTTTATTGCTAGTATATAGAATATAGTTGATTTTTGTATACTAATCTTGTGAATTCTGAAAAATTGCTAAAAATAGTTTTGCTTTTTCTTTTAGTAATTTCATTGGATTTTTTTTGACATAAGTGATCATGTCATCTGAATATAAGGAATATTTTACTTTTTCTTTTCTAACATGGATATCTTTGATTTGTTTTCCATGCCTTAATACACAGGCGACAGCCTCCACTTTAATGTAGAATAGAAGTGGTGAGAGAAAACCTTGTTCCTGATCTTAGGGGAAAAGTGCTCTGTCTTCTCCATTAAGTATTATGTTAGATACAGGGTTTGCATAGATGTACTTTATCAAGTTCAGGATATTCTCTCCTAGACCTGGTTAGTTGAGAGGTTTTGTTTTGTTTGCTTTAAACCAGAAATGGATGTTGGATTTTTTTTTAAAGAGAGCATCTCTCATATTGATTGATCAAATGGTTGTCAACAACAATAAAATTCTGTATAGGGGAGTCAATGCTCAATGCACATTCATTAATCCATCTCAAGCCTAATTCTCATCAGTCTCCAATCTTCTGAAGCATGATGAATAAGTTCTTACATGGTGAACAAATTCTTACATAGTGAATAAGTTCTTACATGGTGAACACTACAAGGGTAGTCATCACAGAAACTTTTGGTTTTGATCACGCATTATGAACATATAACCAATCAGGTCAAATATGAATATTCGTTTGATTTTTATACTTGATTTATATGTGGATCCCACATTTCTCCCTTTATTATT